GTGTTTGTAGTGAAAATAATAAATCATAAAAGCACTGGTTTTAAATAAAAAGTGAGATATTGCTTTTTTCACATATGTGGTATATAAATGCGGTAGGGAAAATATTCCACCTAACTCCAACAATTCTGATGGTAAGAGTGCGTTTTTGATGTGACCTAGATTACTCAAGTCTCCACCCATTGTGATATGTCCTGTACGCTTACTGTGACAACTGGCCATGAAGTGGTGAGGAGTGCTTCATCATCCACCCCAATTAGACTAATAATGTGTTCTGAGGAAGGGTGACTGGACCCAAAACATTAACTCTGATTTTTCTTCACAGATGCTGCCAGACCTGCTGAGCCTTTCCAGCAACTTCTGTTTTTGTTTCTGATTTACAGAATCCACAGTTCTTTTAGTTTTTGTAGACTAATACCCAACTTTCAGAGTATTTCTCGGTTTTTCTTTGGCCATGTTAACAGAGGAGTTGTACTCGCCTTACTCCAAGAGATCCAGTGGGATGTATACCTGCCAAAAGGCCCTATTGTAGGTATCCTGTATGTCCCAGCAAAAGAAAAAGAATGATCAATACAAAGGGGTCACTTATAGTTATAGAGCTAGCCTACTGCTCTGTAGCAAATATTCAGTAAAAATTTGGCACCTATTTTATTTGGTCAGATAGTGGTCTTCCTTTTGGGGTCACTCAGATGCCTTTCCTGAGGAAGTTTAAATCTTAGCTATAGGCATGTTTCATACCCTGAAGCAGCGAGTGGAATTGCTATCTTATCACACTTTGGATCCCTCAAAAGGGCCTGCAGAATGTTTTGACAGGGAAATGTTCATGGGGTTTCATCCCTATTGTTAAAATTAAAGATTCCCTGTTCAGTTGCAGTTTTGCTGGAGGTAGTGAAGTGTAGCTCACGTTCTAGGTGTACTTCCCGAGTTCTGAATGTCCTTTGATCGGTTTACTATATATTTTCACCATTCATTTTTATTTTATATTTTCATCAATCACATTTTGTCTTTTTCACAGAAAAATTAAGCTTTCTTTTACAAATAGAAACAGATGTATGGGTTTAGTTTTGGTTAGGGAGAGAATGAAGATCTAACTTTTGGAATGATGTTGATAACTGTTACTCGAAAATAGTGCATTGTTAAACCTGCTTTTGTTTTACTTTAACTCTATGCAAATCTTGTCCTTAATCCTGGAGTACCAGTATGCTTGGGTAGATTGCAAGTTGATCATGTGGAGATGCTTCTTTATCCATTATTGGATCTGAAATAGAGGAGGCTTACGAATTATCTGACTTCTTAGTGTGCAAATCATCTAAAAAGCTAAGTTCAGAAGGGTCACACAATGACGAGCTAGTATTAAAGTAGTGACTGCATTTAACAAATAAGCTTTTTTTCCCAAAAATTGACTTTTCAAAGAACTATTTCGTCAGACTTGTTTAACATTTTCCACATGTTAACTGGCATGGATGCCAGTTACAGACAGTGTATGTTTTAAACAGAGTAGTATTTACTTGCCTGATTGCGGCAATTCAACAGAAAACAAAACCTGTATGAGTTTTCTCCACAACCAAAGAAATGAAACTGAAGTTCATGGCCTCAACATAGAAAATAATAAACATTTATAAATAAGTTGTTTTAATGCAGTAGCAACAGCTTTGTTGCAGTAATAGTATTTGTTTAGACCATGCGTCTAATTTAGCAAAAAGTCCGAAGAATCTTCTTGAATGTTTTCAAATTAAATTTGACAGTGGTGTGTAAGGTGATATTCAGATGGATGAAATTCAAAGAAATCAGAAGGGTTGTAGTGCTGGCAGAGTTCAGAGATAGAGATGTGAAAAGCTTTGTATGTGTTTTAAAACAGGATTAGAATTTTAAAATAGAGACTTGCTGCAGTGGTGGAAATGAGCATGCACAGTTGTGATTGGTGAATAGGATTTTGTGCAAGTTGGAGTCTAGAATGAGCTCTCGGTATGGAGTATGTTGATGTAGTCAAGTCTGGAGGTAACAAAGGCATTGATAAGATTTCGAGTGAGCTGAGGCAGGGGCTATATTAGGTAATGTTATAAAGTTGAAAGTGTGCAATCTGAGTAATGGGGCACATATCTGGTCAGAAATTAATCTCCAAGTCAAATACCATACCTTGGTTATGAGTCCAATTCAGTCTCTGACAATTACCAGGGAGGTGATTGTAGTCTGCTAGTGAATAGAGTTTTGCTGGGACCTGAAAACAATGGCATTAGTCTATCAATATTTTGTAGGAAGGAATTTCTTCATGTCAAATACTGGATGTCTTTCAAGCAGATTAATGATTGTGGAAGGATTGAGCAAGGTAGTGCGGCAAGGTAGAGCTGAGTATTGTCAGACGTGTGAAACTTGATAAGTGTTTGGACGATGTTGCTGAGGGGGCAGCACGTAAGTGAGAAATAAGAGGGAGCCAAAAGTTGTTGCTTGCAAGACACCAGAGGAAATGGTGCAGGAATGGACGCAGAAACCATAATTACATAACAAATGGCTAACACAGCTTTTTGTTTTGGATAAAATGATAAACCAATCATCGGAAAAATTTCAGATCCCATCGTACTATTTGAAGGACATATAGTAGAATTCTCCCCAGTGTCCAAGACAATATTAATCCCTCCAATGTCATCATCAAAACATTACCAGCTGCATCCGGGTGTTTACTCTGATTTATTTATTCATTGGTAATTATGTTTTCTGCCTATTGGAGTGACTATAATTCAAAAGGTTAAAAAGTGCATTGGGACATCCTGCAGACATGGAAGATGCAGTAGTAAAGAATTCCTTACTTTCTTAAAAGCAATGCTTATTGTGTGTATTTTCTGCGGCCTGGGCTGCACTTCCCTCCTGTGCCCACGGGTCGAAACAGAATCTCAGCTAATAATTTCTTAATGCTGTCTCTATGTGCAATGTTCTTGCTTTCAAAATATTTCAGTAGCAGTCGATCAATTTGTAAAGCAAATATGCTGTATACCCAAGTAAACACAGAAGGTCCCAAGTTCAGTTTCCGTGTCAAGATAGTTCGTATCAGATGTACATTAAGTACAGTTCAACTTTGATGTTCCCCAAGGATGACAAACCTGCTGTAGCTCAGTGCATATACATTCAAGAATGGTCCCTTTCATAAGTTGGAGGAGGTCTGACCTTTAAGGGAACAAATCCAAAATAATTACAGACACTACTGATTGAGGTAACACAGTGTGGACCTGGAGGAACGCAGCAGGCCAGGCAGCATCAGAGGACCAGGAAAGTTGACGTTTCGGGTCGGGACCCTTCTTCAGAAAAATGGGGTATACGTCTTTTGTTAACTAAGGCTATGGTCTGCTGACCCCAGAATCAAATCTTTATTTGTCATGTAGTAACACATTCAATCTTTGATTAATCCAAAACTCTGCACTGGAAACTTTCAGAAATTGGTTGGTTTCATGGAGAAGAAAGCCATCAAGATTAGATTAGTTATTTACTTCATCTGATTTGGAAAATGATGACATTCTATTTGTTTTACAACCCCCACATAACACTGCAAATTCTACAATCAACAATATGATAATGACCAGGTAATCTGTTTAAATGGTTTTGGATGAGGGATTAATACTGGCGAAGACCATGGGGTCTTTTACGTCCATTTGATCACAAGACATGTGACATTGGTTTAATGTTCCATCTGACATGCCACAGCACTGACAGTGCAGCAGCCCCTCAGTTATGCCTGAGAGGGTGGTCTTTTGAATGAAGTCTTCAACCCAGATTTTATTGCTCAGATCCTGGAGTAGGAGAGAAACCCACCGCATACTGTCTCAAAGATGGGAGTCTAATAAATGATCTTATTTTACAAGTTCTGAAGCAAAATAATGGGAAAATTAAGATTCCACTTCATAATTTGGTTCAGCATCAAATACTCACCATGTAAGTTGAAGAATTATTGATGTTGCAGTAAGATGTGCGAATCTTGGTGAAGATTCTTTTGAATAACCAACTTGCAATTTTTTACGTCTTCGGTGTGACCAGATCCAATCTCCACAATTGAGATATTTTTAATGCTTTTTAACCTTTTGGAGCAAATGTGACCTGCATGTGATTAAAATGGAGCACAGAGAATTCAGAGTTTATAATATCGAGTAGTTAAATGCTGGTCTACAACAAAACATTTTTTAATTTAGAAGATCTTGACTACTCCTTATGGAAAGCCAAGGACAAACTTGATTGTGTCATTTTGTTTTGGTACAGCATTTTCGTATCCACTAAATGTAAAGTCCAAAAATATTTCCAACTTTTGTTAAATTGTAAAGTATGCAAGTTAGACTAAATCCTGGATTATTTTTGTTGATTATCAAAGTTCATCCCACTATGTTAGTGAGAGATATCAAACTACATTAATTATTATAGAAATGTTGCAGTTTGTTTGTTGTGTTTGGACTGCTTTCCACATCAAAACTTAAAAATTGTTTATTGCTTCTGAAGGGAAAAACAAAGTTAGCATTTTTATTGTATGATTCAACTGATAGTAGACAATTTATTATTAGCTGATAAGATAATTTATTGCAAAATGTTTATTTGATTATTTATATTGTTTTGATATTATTAGCACTTTCTTTCGTAAGAATTGGTTCAGTTGGGTTCTTTGGACCCTTTCATTCCACATTTTCTTAGGTGCCACGCTGAATGAGTTAAGCTCTGGTAGTGAGCTGTTTTACCACACGAGTGGGGTTTTACATTAAACACCTGCCTGAATAATAATTTGTGATGTTTGCAGACAAGCTTTCTCTTTGTTTCCTGTTCCTGATGCAATTTATATAATTACTACCAGTATTTTTCCTCTCATCTAAATGTAAAATTTGAATTATTTTGCCAATTTAATTAATGGTTGGGATTAGCAATATTCTGTGAAAACTGCTAGTATTCTGAGAGTTTTCTCCCTTTAAACAAAGATAATTAGTTCATGTTAATTTGTACTGTAGCTAATAACACTTGCTCTTATTTTGTTCCAGGTATCTGGCCTTCAGAGGAGGTTTTGGCTTATTACTGTATAAAACATAATAATATGTTTAGGTATGTGAAAATATTTCTCTACCAACTTAGTAGTTCTCCATTTATTTAGTATGAAATAATTGCATATATATATTAATCAAGATGGTTTCAGATAAATCATAACTTTTGCAGTTGGACTTTGCGGGATTGCCTGGATATTTGGTTCACTTTAGATGCCTCCTGCTAAGTAAAATATGCCAAAGACTCTTGATTTTCACTTGAGATATTTGGCTTCACTTTGTTTTTTTTTCCTTTTTTTTGGAAGATAAAAGTGAAGCCACAGTCAATGAGCCTTCATTGTCTTTGTTTCGAATAACCTTCACGATGACAGGATTCACCTATTGTGTAATGTGTAAAAGATTCAGTAAAACTACCCATCAAAATTTCTTCAAATCAAATCTTAACATTAATGCTGTTTATTGTTTTATCATAATATTTTAATTAACATATTTACTTACTTTTAACTTTATTGCTTTGGAAGCAAAATTTACATCAGATGATTTCGTGTTGTCACTAAGTATTTACAGCTTATCAGATCTGATCTTATACGGTTGAAATTGCACAAAGGTTCATACATTTTAAATGCAGTTGGGTTTTGACTTGACAGCTGAATAATCTCAAATTAGACATTTTGCCTCTTTCACATTTGAACCAATTCTAATTAAAATGCAACAGTTTAAATAATCAAATGGGAAGAGAGACTGTCAAACAGTTATGGAAACACAGGATTTTTTTTGGCTTTTCTTAAAAAGAAGTAATGAAAGCTTTATAAGTGTTGGGTAAGAGAAAGACATCAGTTTTTAAATTGTTCTAAGGAAGCAAATGAATGCCAGGCATTGGCTCCCAACATCAGGCAGCATGATCTGTAGCAGTTCAAGAAGGGAACTCACCATTACCTTCTCGAGGGCAATGCCCATAACCTGTGAATGAGTATAAAAAAAAACCTTGCTGTTACGATTTGGCAAAATCCTTTCAACAGCCCACTACATTTTCCCACAGTTGTAGACAGCTAACTTTTCATGAAGCAAAATAATAAGGCCGTTTATATGAATTTTGCAGGCTAGGAATGTCTCAGTTTTATCCGGGTAAGATGCTACATTTGATGACTTCAGCTGACAATCAGTGCCTCTGGGCTAAAGAAGATGCCAAAAATTGGTGGGGCTTCCATTACTGATTATTCTCTGAAGACCTCTTCTGGAATGAATACAACTGGAGAGGACAAAAACCGGATCAATTGTGATGGGTTACAGGATAGAATAGCTTGGCAGCTCTAAGGGTCAAGGATTAGACACACAGTGGCAGTTTGGGTGAGGTACTGGAAGCTGATTCTAATTTTGGAGCAATAACTCACCATTAATGAACGCGTTTATGGTGAAGAGGAGAAAACGAGGGAGGGGCACAGTTAGTTTTTTATATATCAGTTTCTGCAGTGATGTCTAATGATGTTATCCGAGACACAAATTGAGATCAGTTACTGAATTCAAAGATGCAATATATTTTCATTAGTATTAGTCATTTATTCTAACTACTGCAGTTATCATGGGATTTCAATTCTGTACTCCATCTCACTTGCACCGTTAGTATCTGTAAGTCCTCTGGACCAGCTTTTCCAGATAATGACCATTCAATGCTGAGGAACAAGTGTTAATGACATTAATGCAAATGAAAATATATTGGTTGTAATTTTTCAAACTTCTAAAGATGTGTAAAGTGGACCTGTCTTGAGGTTTCCCTTTACGTATGCTGAATATCTAAAGCTATTTGTCTTTCCTTTATTCTATTACAGTAGTTACCGAATTGAACAAGTATTTGGCTAAAGGAAAGATTCAAACTCCTTCTGCCTCTCTTTTGTTTAGCTTTTCCTCACTGATTCACTGTGCCATCACAGGAGGCATAATCAAGACACAGAGCCTCTCTTGATAAAAATGGAACCTTTTCAGATTTGCAGCACAGCAGTGTTAGTGTTGCAGTGAACACTAATGAGAACCCCCACTGCTTAGCATGCCACACAATTATTTTTTATATAATTATTTTTAAAAAGCAAGCTACATGTGGTGATCCAGTGAAGCAGCAAGACTTCTGCCTTTCATATCTTTGTAACTTCCTGCTTGTTGATGTGTTTCTGTAGATGTTGAATTTGCTGTAACGTATATGCCTCCGAAATTGTGTTGCCTAACTTCGGTTGGGTTCTGTAATTTTCCTTTTCTCTAAATGTTATTTCTCTGCAGAGGCCTTGCAGTTTGTGAGCTGGGAGGTGGAATGACATGCTTGGCTGGGCTCATGGTAGGTTTTCTCAATTCACTTCTATTCCCCACCGTCCCACTCCAAACCCTGCCCCCACCCCTCCATTCAGCAGTGAATAAAGGAAGGAGGGAGGGGAAGGAAAGTGTGCAGTCGCCTCTGAACTGCTGGGTCATAAGGACTGTCATCTACATCAGTTGAGGTCACGCTGTACAGTCTTGAGAGACCCTCTGGGTTGACTTGCTTTCGTATCATATTGATTTTGATGGTTGCTTTAGGTGAGCAGAAGCATTTCATCTGGGTGCACTCAGTATCCCTTGTTGTGACATTGCAGGCCCCAAGAAGAGCTACTTCCATTGCCACAGTCAAAGCATTTCAGTTGACAGTCCATTTTCCCAAATACATGAAAAGCATCAGCAAAAAAAAATCACAGTTGGAGCACTATGATATAGTTGTTAATGTTTAGCTGTATTATTATGTCAACAAGCATGATCCAGACTTCCAGCAATTAGATTCTTTTAACTTAAATTGACCATTCAGAAGCTGTCACCTCTACATTCTTTAAACTCATGTGTTCAGCAGATATTATGTATCATTGCAGTGCAGTAGAGACAAGTTTTTATTTCTCTCCAAAATAGAAAGCATATTGTTGCACTGATTGACATTTGACAAACCTGTCGTACTCTTATATAATGTGTCTAGGTTACTCGCAAATGTATGAGCATGTCAGCTACACACGCACACATACACACAAAAAAAATTACCCTTACAAAGCCATCTGCTTCCAATGCAAAGTTATGTGAAGGGCATCAGGCGGGCAGACAGAGGCAAGCTGAAAGGCAGAGTGACAGCCTAGTATGATGGCTGTACTAGATAAACAGAAGGCTGCAAATGAAAGCCTCTCAGAATACCATCATCCACTGTCACAATCCAATTACTGAACAGAATGATAGCAAGATAGAGGTTCCCGCAAATGGAATGATAAAAGTATTGACTGATTTGATTGAATGATTAAAATAATGCAGACATAAAATGAAAAAAGATTGAAGATTGTTACTAAGAAATAGGTGAAGAAGCATGATACTGAAGGCTTGTCACTTCTGTCTTCACTTCCACACAAGACAAGCATATTTGCTCATCGTTCGATGCTATTTTCTTTTTGCAGGTTGCTATTTCTGCAGATGTCAAAGAACTTCTATTAACTGATGGGAATGAAAAAGCCATCAAAAGTATCCTTCCTCATGCAATCTCATCTCAAAGCTCAAAAGTTTTTTTTTAAGTGTAAGACATGTAATCACCAGAATTATACTACATTTGTTTTCAATCAAATAATATCAACAGAAAAACCTGATAAATTTCTAGAAATAAGTCATGAAAATGAAAAGAAAATTCAAAAATATAGAAAATCTTTGAAATGTCAATTGTCACACCCAAAAAGCTGTACTTACCTTCCCCAAGCAAATGTTATTTAATCTGTTCTGGACTTCCCATTATTTTTTTCCTTTTCCAGGCATGAGGATTGCTTATTATTTATCAAATTAAAAGTAAAGCAGAATTAATCTTGTGCTCATTAAGTCAAGTCATGGATACTTTTGAAGATGTATTAGACTGAAGTAGTTTACAAATGAGTAGTTGATCAAAGAAAAAATTGTATGTTCAATTAATATCTGCACTCTAGAAGTTTTACATTAATTCAGTATTATGTAGAAGACTGTCATGGGTTATTTTTCCTCTGCAACCTTTCCCTTCCCTATGTTTCATTCCAAGATCTGCAATATTCGGATTGAATCCTCTGCAGTTTGCCTCCCACAACTCCATTAGTAGCAATGTTTTTAACATGATTCTCTTCCTACAGCCCCTCCTCAAAATTCTTTGCCTTCAGACTTCTCTCTTATCTTTTAGGTATCTTCTCTAACTGTTCCACTACTGCTTGGAGTCTGTTTTCACTCTGTAAAGTTCTTTTTGGGCTTCTGCATTAAACATGCCTTAATACAAGCTGCTTTATTAAATGATTATCCACTTACTAGTTGCAAGATGGTGATGCATGAATTGAGGCAGTGCATGTAATAAACTACAAGAAGTTTGAGACCCACAGTGTGGTTGGCAAGGATGCGGCTCATACAGATACAGCACAACTATCTTGTACACAGCTTGTTCTCCAATATAGTCAAACTTGGAATAATACGCTTAAATTTGAGAAGCTCAACCCAAGTGAATGAGAACCATTCAGATTTCTAGTTTTGAATAAGAAATGTATTTGGAGTAATCAAAGATTTGGATACCAAGGAAAAGTGGAAAACATGGTTTACATAATTAATGAATTAAAATGATGTTTTAAAAATTTTCAATTACTAAGCATATTTTACAACTAAGATAGTTTCCTTAATGTGTGGCGAAAGTTGAATAAAATAAGAATAAATCAAACCAGGAAAATGTCAATCCCTTGGAGTAAAAGAAACAAAAAGCTGAATTGATAAGGAGATATTTGCTCCATTGCCAGAAAAAGTACTTCAGGCCCAACTTAAAGCAATTGTATTTCAAATGGGAGAGGTTGTATCCCAGGACGTTGTGGGAAGTGAGGGAAGAAATTGCGGGGCCCCTGGCAGAGATATTTGTTTCATCGACAGCCACAAATGAGATGCCTGAAGATTGGAAGGTGGCTACTGTTGAGCCATTACTTAAGAAAGTCTGCAAGGAAAGGCAATGGAACTACAGACGGGTGAGCCAGACATTAGTGTTGCATAAGTTGTTGGAGGGGCTCCTAAGAGACAGGATCGACATGCATTTGGAAAGGCAAGAACTGATTAGAGATAGTCAGCATGACTTTGTGTGTGGGAAATCATGTCTCACAAACTTGATTGAGTTTTTTTGAAGAGGTGAACAAGCAGAAAGAATAAAGCAGAGTGGAAGACATTGTCTACATGGACTTCGACAAGATTCCACATTGTAGACTGGTTAGTAAGGTTAGATCCTATAGGATCCAGGGAGAGCTTGCCAATTAGATACAAAATTGGCTTGACAGTAGCAGACAGAGGGTGTGTCAACTTTGAGTCATCCGCAAATTTTGAGATATTACATTTAGTTCCCCCATCTAAATCATTAACATATATTGTGAATAGCTGTACTGATCCCTGCAGTACCCCACTAGTCAATGCCTGCCATTCAGAAAAAGACCCATTTATTCCTACTCTTATTTTCCTGTCTGCTAACAATTTTCTATCCATCTCAATATACTATACCCAATCCCATGCATTTTCACTTGTTGCATTAATCTTTTATGTGGGACTTTGTCAAAAGCCTTCTGAAAGTCTAAATAAACCACAGCCACTGGCTCCCCCTGATCAACTCTGCTGGTTACATCCTCCAAGAATTCCAGTAGATTTATCAAGCATGATTTCCCTTTTGTAAATCCTTGATGATTGTAACTGATCTACCACTGTTTTGTAAGTGCTTTACTATAAAATGATTGATAGTGGACCCCAGCATCTTCTCCACTACCAGTGACAGACTCACTAGTCTATAATTGCCTATTTTCTCTCTGTCTTTCTTTTGTTAAATAATAGGGTTACAGTAGCAGCCCTCCAATCTGTGGGAACCCAATTGCAGAGTCCAAAGAATCTTTGAAGATGACCACCATTGCATCCACTATTTCTAGGACCACTTCCTTAAGTACTCATTGAATTATAGAATGCTCACAGTGTGGAAAGAGGCTAATCAGCCCAACAAGTCCACATCACCCCTCCGAAGAACATCCTACCCAGATCCATCCCCCTACCCTTTCCCTGTAACCCTGCATTTTCCATGGCTAATCCACCTAATCTGCACATCTTTGGACTGTGGGAGGAAACCGGAGCACCCGGCGGAAACTCACGCAGAAAAGGGGAGAATATGCAAATTCCACATAGACAGTCGCCCAAGGGCGCCAAGCCACCGTGCCACCCCTGTGATGTAGCTTATCAGGCACTGGGGAATTATCAGCTTTCAATCCCATCAATTTCTTCAACACCATTTCTCTCCTAATACAGATTTCCTTTATTTCTTCCCTCTCACCAAACCTTGTTATTCCTATCATTTTGGGACACTATTCTTTTTTTAAGTTTCTACATTAATTACCCCCATCTATTATTGATAACTGATTCTTTCTGCAAGAACTTAATAGTTAGCCATGTTTAATAAATACTCCCCAGGACTTTTAACCAGTTAAGTTTAGATAAATGTGAGATGTTGCATTTTGTTAAGGCAAACTAGGGCAGGACTTATACAGTTAATGGTAGGGCCCTGGGGAATGTTGCTGAACAAGACACCTATGGGTGCAGGTGCATAGTTCCTTGAAAGCAGAATTGCAGGTAGACAGGGTGGTGCAGAAGACATTTGGCACACTTGCCTTTATTGATCAGAACATTTGAGTATGGGAGTTGGAACGTCATGTTATGGCTGTACAGGACATTGGTGAGGCCAGGTTTAGAATACTGTGTATAAGTATGATCACCCTTCTGTAGGAAGGGTGTTGTTAAAAAATGAGAGGGTGCAGAAAACATTTACAAGGATTTTGCCGGGAGTGGACGGTTTATAGGGAGAGGCTGAATAGGAGCATCAGAGGCTGAGGGGTGATCTTATTGAGGCTTAGAAAATCATGAAGAGCATGGATAGGGTGCATAGTCAAGGTCTTTTTCTTAGGGTAGGAGAGTCCAAAACTACAGGGCATAGGTTTAAGGTGAGAGAGGAAAGATTTAAAAAGGACTTGAGGGGTAACTTCTTCACAAGAGGGTGGTGCGTGTATGAAATGAGCTGCCACAGGAAATGATGGAGGTGGGTACAATTACAACATTTAAAAGGCATCTGGATGGGTATATGTATAGGAAAGGTTGACATGGATATGGGCCAAATGTTGACAAATGGGACGAGGTCAGATTGGGATGTCTGATCAGCGCAGACGAGTTGGACCAAAGGGTCTGTTTCCGAGCAGTATGACTCTAAGTGGTGTGCCACAGGAATCTGTGCTGGACTTCCAACTTTTTTATAATTTATATAAATGATCATGATGAAGGGACCAAAGATATAGTTGCTAAATAGATATAAGGATTTTTTGTGAAAGGGAAGTCTTGCTTAATATATTTATTTGAGTTCTTTGAAGAGCTTTGATAAGGTGCCACATCAAAGCTTAATGGAGAAGATATAAAAGCTCATGGTGCAGGGATACAAAGGGATAGATAAATAAAGTAAGTGACAAAAATTTAACAAATTAAATAAGAATGAATGAGATGAAGAGAAATTATTCTCACAGGATCATGAGACTATGGAATTCTTTCTCAAAAGATGATGGAAGCAGTTTGAATATTTTTAAGGTAGAGGGAGATAGATTCTTGGTAGCATGGAATGAGAGGTCAACAGGGTGGGTGAGAATGCAGAGTATTCCGGTTGGCTATGGATCTTCTCGAATCTGTTCAACCATGGTCAGCTGAGTGTAAAAGATTCCTTGGCTGTATTCAAGCAGCCAATTTTTCCAGTGTCCTGTCCAACATTCATCGCTCAACCGAATTTTAAAAATGGCATCAGCTTATTCCTTTACTTCATGAGAAATTCTACTGTGTATGCGTTGGCTGAACTAATCAACAGCAACTTTGAACTCCAAAAGTATTCATTGGTTGTACAGTCATGCAGCATGGAAGCAGACCCTTCGGTCCAACTCATCCACACTGACCAGACATCCCAATCTGTCATAGTCCCATCTTTCAATTTATCTATAATGATCGACAATAAAGATACCGTGGTCATAGATTTCAGTCCCAATATATGTAATGGTGTATTGACCAGTAACATTTTCAGCCTTAAGAAGGTAGAATTCTGATCTGGTTCTGGGAAATATAGTAGAGTAAGTCGATTAAGTGCCAATAAGGAAACACATAAGGGCTCAGAAATCTAGCAATAGCAGACTCAAATTCAACAGCAGTGTTGTAATAAGTGAACAAGTGCAGTTCCTTCCAGAGACATTCAACTAAAGAGTACCTCCAGGTTCATCAGATGCAAGACTCAAGCTTGTTCTGTTTTGTAGAATCCCTGTGACAAGTCTGATGAGATCAGCTAATACTATAGCATGGTAGCATAGTGGTTGTGGTTGTGGCAATGGAGTAGCTACACAGAAGTGATAAAATGAAATCCCACCATAACGATTTGTGCAACTGAATTCAATAAATGTGGCACCGGAAGAAAACAATCTCAAAAGCTGCTG